TATAAGAGACAGGGGGAAAATAGGCTACAAACTTTAATTGGAGCATTGCTTTGGCCTTTGTTTTTACTTTGCGTAAAATGTAAAAGGTTCTGTTTTTATTTTTCCGTTTTCGTATTCAGGTCTCCGTTTTCAAATATAAAGAACATCACAACCACCACCATCCTTTCATATAAATCATCCTATCTAACAATTATTTACTAATCAAATAATAGATACATAAATATATTTGACCGTTAATTTGACCAAAAATTTACAAAAGAAACAATTCAAATTTTCCAATCATTCATTTGTTCAAGCAGAACTCTCAACAAAATTAGATATAAAGATGTGGGTAGGAAAAAAATCATGAGAAGGTCCATAATCCATTCATGCGTTAACTCAGACTATTATAAAGATGTGGGCTGAATCACTCGTGCGGAACTCTGCTATCTGAATTTGTAGGCTCATTGTGTACCGTAGTGTGTACCTAAATGCAACGGAGGGGAAAATCTAGAAGATGTAACAGCAGTATGTTCTATTAACTTAAATTTTGTACTCGGTAAAATGGGTTTTACCATGGAGGAATGGTTATACTGTATGAGGCGCCATGTGTTCACTTATTATTTAGCAAAAACTTACGTGGTTTTTTAGGTTATATATTTATATAATATTTTATATAATATATAATTTTTTATACAATATATAATATTTTATATAATATATAATTTTTTATTCAAATGGTACATTCGATTTAAAATATACAGCATCATCTTTAACTTTAATCTAAACATTTTGATCCTTATGAAAAGAATTGTTTCAAGAAAATTTGATATTTTTTCTATAAAATTTATTATAGAAAAATATTTTTTTATATTTGTTTTGCGGTTACTGTCGATATGTACATATCAACAGTAATATAAGGATGAAATTGAAATAAATTAAAGTGGCAACCGACACTGTAGTCTTTCCTCTGTTTGTCTCGTAATGCTCTCTACTATCCAACTTTGAGGAGCCTCACACGCTCACATCTGGGGGTTGAAGCTAACCGATCAATACCAGATTACTCAGCACCACGACATTCACATTTGAAACATCGTTTATAATCAATCCTCGTTTTCTTTTTAATCATGAAATTTGGAATCCCACTGGGCTCTATTCTACACATAGATCTTAATTTATATCTCTATTCTGCAATTACTAATACTGCAATACTTCCTCGACACAAGTATCTATACATCTCATCTGTTCACGCTATTGAATTCGAATTAACCAATAAAGGTTCTTACTGTACTGTTGTCTAATTTTGTCAACAGAATAATTTGAATAGTCGGATTGGCATTTATAACGCTTGTGTCCGTGTTATTTCTCCAATTTAAATTGGCCAGTAGCAGTTGTCAGAATTTTCAATAACTCAAGCGTAGTCGATTGCCAATTGCCAATCGAAGTGAATATAAAAGACAATTTATATCTTTGATAACATAACGAACGTTAGAATACAACTATTCTACAAGACAATGCATGTTTTTGCTGTCTTGCTTACTTTCCTCTCCTACTTTAGAGCCGGTATTTCAGTTACTAGTACAGGGTCGTATGTTGTTGTTCCACAACATGTTTTACTGGGCTGGAGTCAGGAGTTAGATAACATTAATCGTATCCAATGTTTGTTAGCTTGCTCAAGAAAAATTTACTGTTTTTCGGTGAATTACAATCGCCAGAATAGTATTTGTCAGATAAACAAGCAAATACGGGAGGATGCAACCGCTGGAAATTTCTTAGTAAACATCTCATATGATTACATGGAAAAGGTAAGTAATTACCGACATCTGAACTTTTGGATACTTGATAAAGGAAAATGTAAAATATTGATATTCATTTCATAAAAAAAAAAAATATATATAATTCGCCAATAAAAGTCTGAACGCCACACCGGTAGCGGCTAAAAGGAGGAACAATGATAAGAAACAAATTAAAACAAGGCGAAGGAGACTGGATGATTTACTGATCACAATACAAACAAAGCATTAATTAAATATTTTGGTTGAGTTGTTAAGGTCTTCGCTTCAAGCTACGGAGATAGGAAAAAAAAACAGTAAAAGATTGTCCATCAACGACTGTATTATAAACCAAATCTAGAAATAAATTATGGTTTAAAGAAAAATACAATTTATAAAATAAAATTTTACAGTCAAAATATTGAATTATTTAATAACGCATTACAATAAACCAGCTTCCCAATAAATTTTAATACTGAGATACTCGGATGTGATTAAAGAGCACTGTTTTTTTTTTAAAGTATCGGATACACCAACGAAACTATTTTTAAAGTGTTGTCTGGTTTTCCAGACAAAGGAAGTCTCCATTAAAACATGTGTAAATTGTAGGCCTAATTAAATTACGTGCATGTGTGAATAAATTATGTTAGATAAACTGAAAATGATAAAAGGTGCACAATTTCATACATTTAGTAGATTTAGTAGAATGATCGTCACGTTTTGAAAATACAAATAACCAAATACTAAATAGACTCATGCATTCCCAGTTCAATAACCCTTTTCAACAACAACCATCAACGATCACCATCTTTTTTTGTATCATAAGTGTGCTAGTCTATCATAATTAGTAAAACGCCAACATTTTCAGAATAGTTAAGTTAGTAGTGCTTTAATACACAACATTGATATGCATTGAAAATTTAAAATTTAATGCCCCCACCCCCCACAACTGGCTAGTTGGCATAATCTGGGTGGTGGCAAAAGGCTGTGTGACGGAGGGTCCAGGTAGTAAATTGATAGCCAATTTTTGCTACCCTTCGTTGCTGCTATCAACGATAAATCAAATGAATATTATTCACTTTATTTATCTGAATCTCCATAGTTTTACTACTGTATTATGTGGAAATTGCGGTTTGACCGAATGCAATTCTTCACTTTAATACATTAAAATGAATAATGCCTCTTATGAACTTGAAAAGTATAAAGGGTGTTTACTATAAACGTGGCTATAACGGTAGATCATAATTCAATCACAGCATGTGTAGTTCTTTAATATCACAAGAGTCGATAGTTTTGTTTTATTAGCCCTTCGTAAACGTGCTTTCCTACCAATGTAACTATGGCAAATAATGGTTATATAGTCGAATAAATGAATTAGTCCGCTGCTATCCACAGCATCTATTTTGTCCAATATATATTTATAATATCAGAAAATAGTACACTACAGATTTTAAAGAAAGTACTGTACGAAACATCAAGGCAACACAAAAACGTCCTTACATAATTATAAGATATCAATTAACAAAAGGACACTAAGAAAGATTTTATATACAAACTTAAAAATTAATAGAACTATTAAAAATACCTGTACATAAAAACACTAATAATTACGGACATACTTATAATTATCATTAAAAAAATATAGATTATTGTTTAAAATTGAAAACAAAATTTAAAAAAGCATTTAAAATTGAGCCATTTTTATATAATCATTATAAAAAATATTAGGATCCGCTTACATAGGAGAGAAAAAAACATATTTACTGTTAATAAATGTAAAGACGCTGGATCCGCCCCTGAAAGAGCCTTTTGCCACCCAGTCCTTTGCCCTCATAGGAGATCCGTTGCCACAAGACGATTGACACTTGACCATATGCCACCTTGTAAAAGGCAAAACAAAAACCATTAAAAATAATCGACAATAAACTTTCCGTACCGAAGTAACGTTTTACAGAACAGTTGCCTCTCTCTCCCTCTCTCTCTCTCTTTCTCTATTTCTTTTCTTTACAGTTCACAATATTGTTCAAAGCAGTATGTAGAGTGTCTATATATATATATAATTACGTAATATAGAATTTATATAGGCCTATTAATTAATGTGTAATAATTATAACAATCATTAACTAATTTCTAAATTCTGACAATTTATCTTATATTTTGCTACTACAGATCATCGACGGTGATTTAAAGAAACGTAAGTGTTAATTTCATCAACATTTTGACCTTGCGAGTTACAGTACTACTCGGTCGGTTTGGCTTGATGCAGTAGCAGACCTACACTATTAAAACAAATGTCCAAATAACTGTTACCCCGTAGGCCTAAAGCCTGTGTTGTGAGTGTTGACATTTAATTAATCAACTTCAAAAACAGATGTGTTCATATGAGTATATATAATCACATTATATATATATATTATATATATTTATATATATACATTTATATATATATAATTTTCATTTGTATAATCACATACACATGCATTTTTTTAGCTCTGAGACACTATTATATAAAATACATGAAAATAAAACAAAATAAATATTATATAAACGTTATGAAATTAAATCATTCTTCTGTTACACCGTTAACTAACGTTACCTGAATGACTGCTGGACTCGACAATACGAGTAGTGATAGAGCGATGGCTTCTGCCGCTACGTAAAACATTATGTATATTACGTAACGATTTCAGACTGTGACTACTCGACAGGCAGCATATAAAGTCAGGACAACAATTTATACTTCACTACAGAAAGTACAGAGATTTTATTTTTCCATCACCGATATACGATACCGGTACCAAATTATATCATGTTACTAAATTCTACATTGTTAACTATATACAAAACCATTTTATTACCAAACATCAGTTATATTATTATGGGGTCTGCAAACTCCTAAATAGAATCCACATACTTCGGAAACAGGCCTTACGAATTGCTGTAACGTCCACTACCGTTACCATTCGACTCCTCTATTTTTGACATTTATTTAAAAAAAAACAGCTACATTCGTGTACAAACACCACTACCTAAAACGCTAAATTTTTAAATCTAGAGTTGTCTAAGCCTTAATTATTTTTTAAAGATTTAATTATCCTTTTATGTAAAAGGGTTACATGTTAAAAATTTTGTTCCAATGTAATTCCTTACATCTCATTTTCATATTTATTATATTAGACTTCGGCTTGTTGAACTCGGTTGAACCAAAAGTTCAGAGAGACTCATCTCTTGTCTGAACTGGCGCCATATTAAATGTCAGAGTGTCTCGTAGCTAGGATACACTCTCTAACCGAAAGGCATGACCTCTGACCTAAACCATCTTACTCCGCCTGTACAGATAGGCGTGAAGCGCCTGCCCTAATATAATATTAATTAAATCTTATTTATTTAATGACTTATTATTGCTTTAGGTATACCTTGGACTTTTAATCATAATCACTATGAGTTGATAATATGTGGGTTGAAGGGATTAATTATTTGTATAGAAAATAACATATGAACATGTATCCCTATCTGGTTATAAACATGAAAAAGAAGAAAGAAAAAAATCTATATCAGTTTGTGAGCTATGAAACTTAGAGGAGCTCCCTTCATTTTCTGAATAAACAGGATTATTTAAGAAATAC